AGGGGACTTGGGAAGTATGTGCCCAGATCATGTGACCTGCCAGCCATCTGCTTCATCCACACTCACGGGGGCACAGCCTTGCATTACACATTAGTCTCCAGCTGGGGAAATGTATTGGGTGGACTTCAGCTGGCCCCAGCGTCATTTTACAAGGGTCAACAGATGAGGGTCTTCGGGTATGTTTAGAACGTAAAGACTAAGAAGAAGGAAAAATAATGTTACTGTTCACCAGATTGAATAACAAAACTGCTAGGAGATAGGTGCTTTGCTGTCTCCTGTTGCTTCTCAGTGCTTGCACAAAAATACTTTGCAGTTGGTGTACAGTGCTGTGTATTGCAAAGGAGAAAGTTTGCAAAAGGCTGTTGTGTGTATGAGGAACTCATCTATGTCCATGTGCCGGAAGGAAAGGATAATGCACCTACTGCTTAACGCAGAGCTAGTGCTCTGGTCACAAAGCAAGGAGAGGAGACAGAGTAACAATGGATTTAGGGCTCATGGGTGCCCCCCAGGGATGCTGAGGCATGGACCAGGAGGAAAAACAATCCCTAAACAGCAGCAAGTAATCAGTGACAAGGTCAAAGTGCCAAATTTAAATTCTTCATGCAAGATGAACCTGGCCTTACCTACAGTCCTAGAGAGATAAGCATTACCAATGCAAAGGGGGAAAATTCCTTCTCATTTCCATGAGTCTTTAGAATTTTTAAAGTGCTTTCATATTCTGTTTCATTTATCACTGGACAGTCCTGTTTTACAGTTGAGAAATAGATTGCTCGAGGTTTGACTAGTCTCACTCATTTGACTAGTAAGTAGCAAAACCAGTTCTTGACCAACCTAGGTGTTCAGATTTCAAGTTCAGTGTTTTCTCCATTATATTCAGCTCCTGGCTACCTGTGGTATTCTAGTTGGTTCCAGCCCATTAACCCCTGTAAACTCAGGGTGGTGGCTTGGTGTAGATCTTTCCTCAGCCTACAGATCCTTCTGTCTCTACCTGGATATGGACAAGACCTATAGGCCCAATGGAGAAGGGCACCCCTGAGCTTTTCATCTGTAGGTTTTTCTTCTATGAACCTCATGGACCCTAAACTGCTGGAGAGGAGTGGGACAGATAGCTCATTATTTGAGCTCAGGAACCGCTGGTTTCTTTCACTGTTCCCTTCTTGGGTTAAAATCCTCCAGTGGTTCCCATTTGAAAGGCATAAGTAAGAGCATGGGTTTCAGAGTCAGGCAAACCCAGCTCTGAATCCCAGCATTATTAATTATTAGCTGCCTTAGCTCTGAACCTTTGCTTCCTCATCTGTGAGTAGGAATTCAAAATAGCTCACTATGTGAGAATTAAATAAGATAAAATATATTTAGTGTCCCATGTAGTGCCAAGCACGTAGTAGTTGTATCATAAATGGTAGCTCTTAGTGGCTACCAAACAATAGTCCAGGCACTTGAGCAAGACACTCAGGCTCTTCATAGCAGGACCCCTGCCCCCACCTTGCACTCCCAGGAGCCCGGCCATTCCCCTGAGGCAAGAGATTCCTTTGGATCCCTGCAGCTGTTCCTCCTGCACTCCTGGGGGAAGGAGGAGGCCATGACACTTAAAGGAGGAGTGGCTCTTCAGAACCCAATGTCCCTGCTCTGCCCTCCCCACCTCCCAGGACAGTCAGTTCCTAGCAGAAATCAACTTGAGAGCATACGCAAAGGGGGCCCGGTAGCTGAAGAGCAAGATTACAGAGAATGATGAGCGATTACACATGAAAGATCTGGAGGGCAACTTGACAATTGAGCTGGAAAATTCTCATCTTTTACTGATGAGACGAGAGAAACGTGGCATTTTTTTTTTTTCTGGAGAGCAGCCAGAAACTTAACCAAATAAGTAGGAAATAAATGACCCAATTGAGTCCCAATTAAAGTGCGACCAGTGCATCCTAGCATGTGGAATTATCTTCACATTTTAATATTAGAGTCAATTTTTAAACCCGATAAAATTTCACTAATTAGCTAGGCAGTGTAAAAAGAAATTCTGATTATACATTTAGTAGCAAAGACGACCAAAGTGTTATCGAATGATTATATTTAAATGATTTGTAAAAAGCACGTCAATTATTTCCCCAAAAAATGTGCCTCAATTAAAATGTTTGAAGAACTTGTCGTCTTAGTTTGGTAAAACACCTCCCTTGCAATCTTGTCGGCTTTGATAATGGCTTAAGTAACTCTCATATGTGTGGATTTGGGAGCAGTACTTTGGGCTAGTCTGTGTGCAGATTATGACCTATTTTAATGGTGCTAAATTGTTGAGGCTTTTCCTGAGTCTATGGCTTTGTTACTCAGTATGCCTTACGTTTCAAATGGTGATTTTTACGTCAGTGCCCCACCCCCGTGTTAACAAAATCAAGGATGCAAGTGTGTTTTTCTGCAACCATGCAAACCTGTGGCTTTTCGGTGGCTCTTCTCCAGGGAGAGACTTGATGAAAGCTGCGCAGGGCAGTGACAGTCTTTATTTCACTTCGGGCCTGTGTCTGAGTGCTGTCTCAGCTCAGATCTGTGGGAGTTAGAATGGTACAAAGAAACCCGCAGTAGTTTGGCAGCCACACTCACCTGTTGAGGTTAGAGGACACCGTCCAGGAACCTCATTCTCCTACATGTGTGCCAATTGCAGTGGAAGCATTTAAGAGCTAGTGCAGATCTCTGTGTTCTCCCCTCCTCCGTGCCGTGGCCAGTGAAGGGTCAGTGGATACCATGGCCAAATAAATAAACTTTTGTTATTCCAAAAAAAAAGAAATTTCATTTTCCAAAACAAGGGGCACACACTCAATGGTGAGAAATCCGCTTTGTTTTGTACCACGTTACTTTGCTAGGATTCAGGGTGGTGGGGGTGGGACTCAATTGTAGAGAGCGAGTTATGTCCTTCATTCAGATTTGTGGGAGAAGCAAGAAATACTGGGCTTTCCTGCATAAGATGGATGTCTGTGAGTATGACTTCTGGGGACCTGTTCAGATTCTACTGGATACAAAGGTCTCCATGACAAGGACCTGGGCTGAGCAGAAGGCCAAAGCCTGGAGTATGTGATTCTAGGCCACTCCCAAATGTTGACCTCACACCCTGTTCCCACGTCTTAAGGATATGGAAGATTCCCCCTTGGTTTTTACTCAAAACAAATGTAGCCTGGGGAAAGGAAGGCAACCTATGTAGGTGTTGGGAAATTTTTCTATCAGATGATTCCATTTTTCCCATGGCAGCTGGCAATTATACTTTTTTGTGTGTGCTTATTTACTTGAGGTCTGTCTTCCCTGCCAGACTAGGTAAGTTCTAAGAGGTTAGTGACCTCGTTTGTTCACAACTGTGTATCCAATACCTGGAACAGGGCCTGACATATATGAAGGAATCCATAGATGCTTGTTATATGAGTGAATAAAAGTATATGTGGTTGACCTTCTACATGTCCTTTCTTGTATGTGAGAGGATGCGGTTATAATTCAAGGGAAGATATTTCTGCCCTCTGAACATTTGGAGGTTATTACGTTAAGGATTTAAGGTTTATAAGGCCTTGGGTTTAATTACCAAGTTATAATTCATTTGGCATTTACAGTGAAAATTAATATAATTTTGAATATGGGATCATATACTGAGTAAAATGGCCATTAGAAGTCTTTGCTTGTGACGTATGGTGTATAATATCGGTTTGTGGTATGTTGGAAAAAATGCAGAAAAGAGGGAGAAAAGGTAACCTGTGTAACAGTCAGCAACAAAGAACCATAGCCTGAATTCTGGAAGTGTCTTCGTAGCAGCAGGCCAGGATGGGGAATCATGAACTAGGTTCACCTGTGACTTCGAACTCACTCACTGAATGATCTTACCATGAGGCATGTCTTCCCAGGATGTCGGTTTGCTTTGCAGTTAAGTGGAGTTCAGGAATATTTTTCAGCTCTAAAATTTGGTGAGCTGTTTGACAGAGCCTTGAACCAAAACCCGCTAGTGCAGAGGCTTGGTGGTTAAAAGCAAGAGCTCCAAGCATCATGCATACTTGGGTTCAAGTCCCAACTCTACTAGCTAATGCTGGGCACTCCCTTAACCTCTCTGAATCTCATTTGTGAAATGGGGGTAGTAATACCTAGGTCCTAAAGTTATTAATAGTAGGAGGCTTAAAGATTTGCAACTGAAAGTGCTTAGCACAGAGTCTGGCCCATAATAAAGAATAAATATTCAAAAAGTTTAAATGTTAGTTTTCATTTTCTATCTCAGATATTTACACTCTGAATTATTATTATTTTTGGTTACGCTTCACCAATAGAGCTAGGATGATTTTTCTTCAAGTTGCATAGTAAATAGCTCATGATGGAGAGTTAGCCATTTAGCCTGTCATAAGGCAGTCTTTTGTGTGACATCACAACCTTGATGGACAAATGCCTGCCCCCTTATTTCAAGGTGATTTAATGATGTTGCTCATCTAGTTTTTGAGAGGCATCGGAGTAGCCCTCTCAGAGTGGTTGCAAGTTCCTGTTCTGATGAGACCCTTCATAAGCGTCACTACGCCGCTGTGACTAGAAGTGCCTTTCCTGAGAGAGTTTCTGGCCCAGAGCAAGTGCGACTCCTTGATCTTGGTTTCTCAAAAATGCAAATGGAGAGAGTTTGTTTGAAGACTATGAAGGAAATGAAAGTAAAAGCCTACATTTAGAAAACTGCAATTAAACTAGGCTCCGTGGAATAAAGTACAATGTCTGGGTGTCTGGCTAGTTAGAGGCAGTGTCACTAGTGGTGGTGAAGAGCCTTCGCCCCTGCAGGTAGGGGCGGTGGCTGTGAGCAAGTGGCATGCCGGCCCCTCCTCTCACAAAGCGTGTGTACTCTGCAAGTGCCAAGGCTGTGGGTGGGGTCCCTGGGGCCTGTGCTTCTCCAGTTTCCTGTCCATTGTAAGTTTCTCTTTTTGCCCTAAAATATTCTGACTGACTTTCTTCTCCCCCTCCTTTTCTTTTTGTTTTCTTTTTTGCCTACATTCTGATTGGATCCTCCATAGGAACGCTTTGGGGTAAATATGTTTGATTTTCTTTGAAGTAAAAGATGCGGGGAATGGGTTAGAGATGGGGAGAAAGTATGGGTGAGAGGGGAGGAGCTGATGCAGTGGGAAAGGAATGGTGAGCTTATTCGAGTGGTGAGTTTTCACTCACATCCAAGAGATCAAAAATTAGGAGTCACCAAACCTTCTTGGGAAGTGATCATTCTAATTGGTTTAGATATGTATTTGGCTTATATGTTGCCTCTTTCAGATATGTAGATACATGAACCTGATACACTGAAATGGTTTATAAACTATACCAAAGTTCCTGCATGCAAAAGACTGTATCAATGCAATACTTTTCGATTATTTATATTCAATCTAGTATTGAATAAAAGTGACTTGTAGGTCACTGCCTATGACCATTAAGAGTCCTAAAATTAACATTCTGGACAAAATCAGCATTCCTTGGATTACACTACATGACTTCTTACCTTCTGTGAAGGAATAGATGGACTTTTATCTCCCTGTCTAGGGGTGGGCATGGCAGGAAGGTGGGGTGCAAAGCAGAAGCCCCGTTCCCACCTGATGTTCTGGATCCGTTTCCTCGGGTCGGTGGTGTGATAGTAATCCAGGCCAACGTGAGGAAAGAGCCGGAGCCTGGCCTCACTATTTAGAGTCTTGTTTTCCACCATCTGTGTGTTTTATAAATTGCAGTTATTTGAATTGAATGCAGAGATCTCAGGGGATGAGCAGGGAAGGAAGAAAAATGCACATTGATGTATTCATTTCATTCCTAAAAATAAAAAGAGAAATACGTTTTCTCTATTAGGAGCAAACCTTTCCAAGAGGCTGAATAGGAAGAGTCATTAGCTGTAGAGCCGGGAGAAAAGTACGCAGGGACAGCGACCCTGTGCGGCCTGTGCTAGCCGCGGTGTCTGAATTGGGAGGGACTGCAGGAGGAGCCAGCCGCGTGGAGATAACTGGGTGGGAGCCGGGGTCCTAGCAAGAAGCCTGCATGACATGCTCTCTGGAACAGGCAGCCAGCAAGGGTGTCCATCCCCTGCCAGCCTTCCCCACCTTGCTCTCCCTGTGCCTATGCAGTGGTGACAGACGTAGGCAAGTCAAGTCCCTGATGCGACTTGCTCTCAGCCGTGGGTTCCTGTTCCATTCAGCAAATATCATTGGAGAACCTACTGCTGGACTAGGCACAGCAGGGATCCAAAGTGGGCCCCCGGTCATGTCCCCTGTTGACACATCTCCCATTTTCATTGTGCCAGTGTGGTGATGAGCAGCGTTAGACTGGCAGTTAGGGAGAAACAGTCTTTGTTAGCATGTGCGTGTTCCTCTGTGCGCGTATGCGTGGGTGTGTATGTGCATATGTGCACACTGGGGAGCAATTTTTTGTGGCATGTCCCTGAAGGATCAACTCTGACCCAACTCCTGGGTTCTTGGCTATGTCGCTCCCCTTTTGCCTTGTTATCCATGCGGTAGTGTAAGGGCCACTTGTATTTCTCCCTCTCTCCAAATGATCCCCCTCGGGGGCCTCTCCCTTGCAGAACCAACAAGGGGAGGGACATCAAGACCATCAAGTCCCTGCGGGTGCTCCGGGTCCTGAGGCCGCTGAAAACCATCAAACGCTTGCCCAAGCTCAAGGTAATGTTTACAGAGTTTGTTCCCATCAAATACCCTTCTCCCATCTTCTCTCTTAGCCGTGGTTGGCCTGCTTTGGGAGAATTTGTTCTGGGAATATTCCTTTTTCTTACGTGGTTATTGAGATTCCTTTCATCTGCGTGAGCTAAGGGTCTTAGTTTCAAAGGAAAATAACCAACATCCTAAGAAATCTATAAAGAGGCTTTTGCCCCTTGAGTTCAGACCCAGGTGGTGTGTTCTGCTCTCTGCATTGGCGTGCCATCCAGGAGGAGCCCTGTGTGGTTTTGTCCGGGGCCCCGCGGACCACGACACCGGATTGGAAGCCACAGGAGCCCTCCGTATGCACGTGGTCTGCATGCTAGGTCAGGCCAAGTGTCCTGGGACGTTTTCTTTTTTCATAATTGTAGAGGAGGACAGGATTTTCTAGCCCTAAGCCTTCATATTTTTGAGGCACAGATGGGTCAAACACTTGTTCAAGTACACAGTCCATTTTTCACAGAACCAGGGAAGAAATGGGGAAGTGAGCTAACATGAGATGCATTCTTCCTATTGCCAGAACCTGAGCTTTAACGGGTATCTTATCCAGATTCCTCCTTGTCCACTAGTCTTCCCTGCTGAACTCCGCCGGGGCTCCGCCTCCGTGAGCCTTGCTGCCTCTCAGTGTGCTTTGAGTCCTGCCAGCCTGCTGAGCCCACCTCCCTGCCCACGTACATTGCTGTTAATGGAAGCTGAGCCTCCACTCGGGGGAAGTTCTTCCTCCCTGAGTTCCTGTGAATGAGAGCCAGCCACTGCCAGGGAGAAGACCAGGGTTCTCAATTCACAGCCCCGATGTCCTGCTGCTGCTGCCCAGGCTGCACAGCCAGCCAAGCGTGTGCCTCAGGGCCGCTCCAGGGAGCTTCCCTAGAAGCAGGTGTAAACCCCACCTGCAGCATTGCGTGGACTATTGCATGGACAGCCCTTGTCAAGGTGTGGGCCGTGGGCCACCTGCATCAGGATGGCCTGGATGCTTCTTAATATCCAGGTTCCTGGGCTACTCCAGCACAATAGAGCCAGACTCCCTGGGGAGGGGCTTGGTGTGTGCCTTCTACAGCAGCTCCCCAGGTGACTCTTAGTCTAGCACAGTTTGAGAACCCCTGTCAGCATTGGAAAGAGCCCATTTGAGTGCCGGGTTCAGCTCTGGGACTTAGGAGCTGTATGACCTAGGGCAAATCACTTATTCTTTGACTTTCTTTCAAGTGGAAAATGGAGACAGTTTATCACTCACTTGTGGTGTGGACAGAACAAGCTGACATGAGTGGTCCCTGTTGGAAAACCCAACGATTCTCCTGGCGTGCCTGGGCCAGCTCTCCCAGGCCTGCCATAGAAAACAAAGGGGGGGAAGGACCTTGTGAACCTGACTCTGCCTCCCAATTCCCATTTCCTGTTTGATTCTGTGACCTCTGATACACCCCGCCAGCCCTCACCCCACCCCAAACCCCTCCTGTCCTCATAGCGCTGCTCCCTGTTAGCCCTCTAGCTCTGCAGACAAAAGCAAAGCAGACTAGGCTTATGAAAGGCTGGGGAGGGAAGGAAAGTCACTTGTGAAAGGCCCTGAACTGGCCGAACCATGGCTTCCTCTCGGTGCTCGGGGACCTGGGCCACGGCATGAGCTCCCAATGGAAAACACCCGTGCTCCCAAGGAAGTACCCTCACCACCTGCTGTCCCCCTGCCAACCCTGTCTTCTCCTCCTGGAGGAGGCCCTTCCCACAGTAGCAGCTATCTCTTAACCGCCCTCCCACCTGACAATGGGCCCAGCGCAGTGCCTGCCCTGAGCCAGTGACCATAAATACTCATTCCTTCCGTCTGCCTGGGGCCCTGACCGCTGCTGTCTGCCGCAGTGCGGGACCCAGCGGGTCCTATGGAGTGTGCAGACAGGCTTGATGAGATTAGCTAACAGGCTGGGGAAGGCAACCCCAACCTTGGTTAATTCCATTAAATTAGAACCAATTCCTCTCTCTGCAGCTCTATAATCTGAGGGATATGTAGGTGGCTCTGATGATTCCACAGGGCTGTGTGTCACTCACATTCCCCACAGTGTTGAACTAATTAAACCAGCAGTGCTTCACCCAGCGCTGCAAAGAAGCAACTGCACAAATGCAGCACCACTGTGGGGCTAGCCTCTCCTGTGAGCTAAACCTAAAAACCTAGAAAATAATCTAAAAATGGCTTGAAATGTGTTGAATTCCCATGTAACTCCTCACTGCATAGGGCCTAGAATGGAGGTCCATCCCCTTTTACTGGAAGTATGAATCCCTGGCTCTGTCCCACATCACCCAAAGTCCCCACATCACTGCTGGTGGTCCTCTTCCCAAATACAGCCAGCCTCACTGACATTTACATGGTGCGCTGAATGTAATTGGGGCCAATTTATGAACTCGCTACAGAATATCAGAATATTATCTCTCCCTGATCCATTTAGAAAGGTAAAGAGAAAACAGTCCATAATCCAGTATATAAATCAAATCTAAGATGTCACCAAATAAATGGAAAGTCAGGGACAAGCTATTTAATGGCTAGATGATCTAAAAGATCCTTTCCATTTCTACACTTGAGTTTCACACTAAGTGGAGTACCCCTACCAGGATCCCACAAAGGACCCCTTCGTTGCTTGATATCATCTGGTTACCGCTGCTTTGGGTTTACTTTCAGATTCAGACAATGCGTTCCTGTCCCAGGTTGTAGGTCCTTCCAGTCATGACCAGCTTGGAAGCAGCCCTCAATCCCATAGTGTCACCTCTTAGGTGGGCGTTCTTTCCCGAGGCACCTTTTTGGTGGGGCTGGGTGATGGTGGCATGTCCCCAGTCACTCTAGGCAAAGCACAGGCCATCACAGGGCTCACATGCCAGGGCTCTCTGCTCTGTCTACAGGCTGTCTTTGACTGTGTGGTGACCTCCTTGAAGAATGTCTTCAACATACTCATTGTCTACAAGCTCTTCATGTTCATCTTTGCTGTCATCGCAGTTCAGCTCTTCAAAGGAAAGTTCTTTTATTGCACGGACAGTTCCAAGGACACAGAGAAGGAGTGCATGTAAGTGCTGCTGGCACACACCACTCGCTTTTGCTGAAGTGATGATGAACCCACTCCACCCTTCTTCTTTTCTCTCGTCCCTATATCCACTCTTTGTTTAGCAGAAAGACAAAATAGGGAGACGGTAACTTGTATGGAGCACCTCTTTTGTGTCAGACATGGTACAAGACATTTTATACTCGGCTTTCATTTTAAATCATAACCCGTTGAGGTGGATTTTATTTGCACATTGTATGTGCAGAAGCTGAGACACAGAAAGTTTAAATAGCTGTTCAAGGTTATGCAGTAACTAGTGAAAGGATGACGATTTAATCCTATGTCTATTGGGCACCAAATCCCATTTTTATTCCATAGTAATACTTGCCTTTAATAAAATTCCTTTTTCCTTACATTTGTGTGTTGATCATTATTACCCGACATTACTGGAGTCTGTAGAATTTCCTGACTCTTCCGTGAGCTGTCGTGAAGAGTCCCTCTTTCATTTCTATCTGGTTTTAGAGGCAACTATGTAGATCATGAGAAAAACAAGATGGAGGTAAAGGGCCGGGAATGGAAGCGCCATGAATTCCACTATGACAACATTATCTGGGCCCTGCTGACCCTCTTCACCGTCTCCACGGGGGAAGGATGGCCTCAGTGAGTACTGGGTCTCATGCTTGTCTGTGAGCTGGGATGGGACCACATGGTTCCCTTGAGAAGCTGACTCAAGATGAGCAGGCTGACCCTTTGTTGTCATAACAGGGAAAGTAAGTGGTTATGAAGGGGTAGGACAGGCAGAAGAGAGGAAGCGTGAAAATCCTTAAGGCAAAAGTGAAGAAGGGGGTGACAAAGTCAGGGAAATATTTGAAACTCTTAATGTTTTAGCCAACTAATGAGGATTTGAGTGAATGAGTTTTGAGCAGCCCTCCAGCCCTTAAGAGAGTCCCCGGGGGCTTCTTTAGACAAATTTATCCTCCAAGTTGACCCTGTACCTGAGAGCCTGAGGATTGAGTGTTAAGGGTGAGCTGGCAGGACCCAAAGACGTTTCCTGTGATCACTCCTCTTATGAAAAGACAGCAGAATGCAGGTTCTCGTGCTGCTCATAGCTGAAGGCTAATTTTTCAGAGACCTGGCAATGACTAAGACAGCACTTTATGGAGACAATGTACTCTAGTTGGCAGCTAAAACGTCAAATAGGAATCTAGGCGTCTCTTGCTATTGAACACAACAAGCTAAACTATAAAATGATGTCCTTCTGTTGCTTAGGAGTTGAACAGATAACGAAACGGGCTAGAAAGAGCAGGGGATTGGTACCAGTGGGATATGCCAACTTTGTTATGAACTCAGAGAGTTAATGGAGTATCTGCAAAGTCAAGGAAGTCAGATAAAGAGCTATAATAAGTGGCACATCTCCTAATGAAGCCAAGGTGTCATGCACCCTCCATGCCCCCTCATTCTGTCCCCACAGAGTTCTGCAGCATTCCGTAGACGTAACAGAAGAAGACCGAGGCCCAAGCCGCAGCAACCGCATGGAGATGTCCATCTTTTATGTGGTCTACTTTGTGGTCTTCCCTTTCTTCTTCGTCAATATCTTTGTGGCTCTCATCATCATCACCTTCCAGGAACAAGGGGACAAGATGATGGAGGAGTGCAGCCTGGAGAAGAACGAGGTAACAAAACTGGTCCGATACGAGGGATAGCAGGGCCTCTTGGACCAGCGGTGTTAGGAAGGAAGACTGCATTTTCTTAACTTGATTGAGAATTGTAGAGAGAAGATGGTAAAATTATTTATTCAGTCATTAAACAAACATTTTCTGAGCACTGCTCTGTTTGAGGCCCAGGTGTGAAGCACAGAGATCTGGAAGGTACATAAGGTATTTAAGATGGCAGTTTATACCTCTACAGCAAAGTCTAAAAGGCAAAGGTGTGTGCTATAATTATAACACTAAGACATCTGCTTACCTCACTGTGACCCTCCATCGTGTGTATTTGCTGTAAGGGCAGGGAATGTCTTACATTGCTTTTCCAGAAACAAGCATAGTTCTGGCACACTGTAGAGTTTCAACAGTTTTTGTGGGGTTTTTTTGTTTTTTTTTTGTTTGTTTGTTTTTTGCAATGCAACTGAACTAGAAACTGTTAGGGGCTATAAGGGAAATGCAACATAAAGCGCTATAAGCATACACAGGCAGATCTTTACTCTTGACTAGGGGCATCAGGGAAGGCTTCCTGCCTAAACATCTCAGCCATCCGCTGTATAAAAGGACTTTAATAATGACCATTAAGTTTTTACCCCATGGCACAGAATGCCTCTAGTTCTGTGCACTCATTTAAGGTGACGTCTTGCCTGTAGTTTTGTCCAGATGATCCCTGTTGCCATTTTTACTTCTGCTTGTCCAGCGCTACCCTTTTCTCCATAGACCATCTTCTTCTGACTGTCTAACAAAGAGCCCAGCACTGGGCAAGGCTGGGGGGATCGGAGCTTGGACTAATCGCTGTGACTTTCCTGCAGAGGGCATGCATCGACTTCGCCATCAGCGCCAAACCTCTCACCCGCTACATGCCGCAGAACAGGCACACCTTCCAGTACCGCGTGTGGCACTTCGTGGTGTCTCCGTCCTTTGAGTACACCATCATGGCCATGATCGCCTTGAACACCGTCGTGCTGATGATGAAGGTGAGAGGCGGGAGGCGTGAGAGCCGGCCGAGCCTGGGCGACTGTGCCCTCCCAGGGCAATTGTGTGTGTGCTGAGACACTGTGAAAATGCTCCCGCATACCAGTCTGTCACCTCTTTACCTACTTTTCCATCATGGAATCTCTTCGTGATGTTATTGTGTTCAACAGCCTAGCTTCTGAGAATTCAGGGGTCCCCTATGCAAAATGAAGTGAAACCTATGGTAGCAGCCAAGAGCTTCCCAAAGATGGCGATGGAGGTCAACTTCAGACAAAGTGGCAAATGTCAGGAGATAGAGATCATCCTAGTGTCTAAAGGAGCGTTGGAGCGTTAAGAGAGCCTTGATCCTAATTAATGCTAAATGACAAAGTTACTAACTCTAGAAAACGTTTCTTCCCTGCCCACTTGTGTGTCTAGCAAGACTGGCTGTTTTGCTATTAAGCCATATAGGTGGGGCACAGGTCTGTGTTTTGCTGCATAGGATGTATAGTTTTCCTTTCCAGAACTTGACGTCCATCTCTCCTCCTGCACTGCGCACCAGATTATCCCACAAGGGCAGGGGTGAGAGATGGCCAGCCTCAGTGGCATGTATTCCCCCTCTTACCTTAAAGCTTTGATTGTCTTTCTCTCCTCTCCTCTCTCCCTGGCAGTATTACTCTGCTCCCTGCACCTATGAGCTGGCGCTAAAGTACCTGAATATCGCCTTCACCATGGTGTTTTCCTTGGAGTGTGTCCTAAAGGTCATCGCTTTTGGCTTCTTGGTATGTCACTGAATCTATCCTAGCACTAGGCTTGTCTTCTCTTCCTTTTGGGTGCATTCCCAGCCTTTGTTGGAAGGGGGGTGGTTACTGCTGTTCCAGAAATGGCTCACACACCTGCCCACCTAAATGTGGGCTCGTTTTGACTGCTCAGTAAACTGCCATACAGACAAGACGATGGCTGAGGGGGTTAGGAGAAAGGCAAAGGAAGCCATGTCCCCAGGTTCACACTCATCTCACCGTCAGCCCTGGTCCTGTCAAATTCTGCCAGCAGTCCAGGGGGAGCCATAACTGGGTCATTAAACTGTGATTTATGTGTAGATAAAGGATCGGACTAATAACTCTTGAGTGCTTATTTACTTGTAAAAGGTTTAAGAGTTTTATAACCCAAATGGCAAACTATCTGTCCCTCTGAGCCTCAAATATAGCAAATAATAGATTTTACCTACTAATCCTTCTGCCATTAGCAACATGAAGAGTAATTTCTGCTAATGAAAATAAATGCTTATTGCTTACACTTACAAAGGCCAATTACCCTTAACCTTTTGTGTGTGTGTGTGTGTGTGTGTGTGTGTGTGTGTGTGTTGTATAGAAGAGAAGGATTCTGGAATTAAGTTTGGGGAGGGTTGGGGGTGAATTTTTCTGGCACAAGTCTTCCTTTTTCTTCTCTTGAACTACTAATTATAATTGTTTTGCAAATTCTTGCATCTGCTCTCAAGGGTGTTAAGAAAACCTAGCCCTTTGTTTCAGTGTCCTATAAACAAAATAACCCCCTCCTTCATCCCCCAGCCCTTGCTTCAGTGTGTACAGTGAGTTCAGTGGGATGCAGAAAAGCCCACTTGTCAGCTGTTTCACACCTATTTAGGGTGTGAGCTACCATTTCAAATTACATGTGTATGCATATGTGGCTTTTCCTGCAAGGAGCAAAACTTTGCTTATTATCTGAGTAAGTATTTATCTGGTAGCAGCGTTAACAGGGACTCTGAGCTGGGTTTTATAATTGTGAGTGTTGATCATGGGTCTGCTTTTGGTCTCCTGATGGTTCTTTGAAAAACCATTCGTTTGATCGCTTTAGGTGGAGAGTTGAAGGGAACCCAGTACAGGTGGCTGCATTGTTGTGTGCTTGACTCCCTTTTGAGTGTCTTGAGACTTGGGGAAGTACAAAAGTAAAAGGAAACTACCACCAACAAAGATGCCTTTAAAATACAGTCTAGCCCTGAGTGGGGTGAACCGAAAAAGGAGAAGCCAGTGCCACAACAGGGAAAGTTTTTCTGTGCATCTTGATTACTTGCATGTGGTATTTATATTGTCTGTGACTTAAGTCCTCAATTAGGGGTCTAATTATGGCGAGTGCTGAATGCATACTTACAAGCTTAGCCAGATTCGGCCCTGAAGTCTGCCTTCTTCCCACCCTCACCCCCATGCTTTCATTCAAGGTCTAGAGGCATTTTCGCACTATAAAAGGCACCACTGGTCCTGATAAGTCTGTACATCGATATAGCACTTTAGGTTTTCAGAATACCCCAATATACACTATTTTGTTAGATCTTTTCAATGACTCTGAAATAAGCATGCCAGAGATCATTATCATTCTTGCCATTATTATTTTAAATGAGGAAATTGAAGTTCAGAAAAATTGTATAGCTTTTTAAAGATTACACAATAGAAGGCAGTAGAATTGGAAAGCAGGGTGGTAATGAAAAGGGAGGAGAGGGAAAGAAGTAACATACATTGGTTTCCTGTTAAGTACCAAATGCTTTATACATTCATTTTCTCTTCATAACTATATTCGATGGCTATTATTATTTTCTTGTTTTATGGATGAGCTGGAGCTCAGAAGGTTGAATATTTTGCCTAAGGTTAGTCAAAGGCAGAGCCCGGATTCCGATCCTGATCTGACTTCAAAGTTCACAAAAATCTATTAGTCTGCACTATGCTATTCCATAGTATGCTATGCTGTGCTACACTGTGCTGTTCTGTACCATATACTACACTATGCTATTCTATGCTACACTGTGCTGTTCTGTACCATATACTACGCTATGCTATTCTATGCTACACTGTGCTGTTCTGTACCATATACTACGCTATGCTATTCTATACTACACTGTGCTGTTCTGTACCATATACTATGCTATGCTATTCTATGCTACACTATGCTGTTCTGTACCATGTACTACGCTATGCTATTCTAAGCTACACTGTGCTGTTCTGTACCATGTACTACACTATGCTATTCTATGCTACACTATGTTAATCTGTACCATATACTACGCTATGCTATTCTATGCTACACTATGTTGTTCTGTACCATATACTACACTATGCTATTCTAAGCTACACTGTGCTGTTCTGTACCATATACTACACTACGCTATTCCATACTACACTATGCTATTCTATAGTACACTATGCTGTTCTGTACCATATACTACACTATGCTATTCTCTGCTACACTATGCTGTCCTATGCTATAAGTGTGCTATTCTGTATTGTAAAGCATCCTCAAGTGAAATCCACACATTTTGGTCCTCTGAGCCCTAGATCCATGCACCAAGAATTAGGAAAAATTAAAACCAAGAATTAGGAAGTTCCCCCCGGGGTAGGCAACAGGAGCATCCTGAGAATTGAGGAATTCGGACTCAAGTTGGCTCCACCACTGACGGACTAGGCATTCTCACGGAAAGTGAGTTTACGAAGCTGGGTGCTTCAGTTTCTCTACATGCCCCATAGGTGCATGCAGCTTTGGAATCGGGCTTCTCTAAGCCTCAGTTTTCTCATACATGAAATGAGGATAACAGTAGTTACCTATGACCTTGGATACTTTGTTGTGTCTATCCAGTTAGGTAATGCTCTTAGGGGGCCTAGTTCTGAGTGGGTGCTTGTGAAACGTAACTTCCACACACTCCTCTCCTCTCTTGACAGTCCTTTTATGAACATGGGGTACTTATCACCTACCTGGAGGATCTGTGAGAGGAATAAATGAGGTCAAAGAATGCCAAGGGCCTGACCCAGTGTCTGGCACGTATAGTAGGGATTCAGCGATGCTAGTCGTGAGGCTGGGATGGGGTTCACTTCTGCAGTGCTCTGAGCGTCTTTTAGGGGAGGTGCTGCCTACGGGCCAGGAAGGGACTTTCGGAGATCCAGGTGTCTGAGTTTTTTGGTTTTGGGGTTTATTTGAAGGAACATAGACCAAGGTCCGTGTTCACCTGAGCCTAGGAAATGGAGTGTTATCTTCTTAAGAGGAGCGTTATCTGGTTGGTGGGTGTTCCAAGTTCTTTGCCTCTCCTCCAACTCCTTTAGCCCACTCATTTTATTACTGTGTCCTCGTATCTTAGTTACACCTTCTCAGTAGGTGTAACAGAGCAGAGAAAGAGGGGAAAGATGAAGTGTATTCATCTTACTGCCAATCAGGAAGTGGTTTGAAAAGGCTGAATGGAGTTAGAAGGAAGATTTCAGGCACATCTGTGACCTTTAGTCACTTATGATCTGTGTGATTTTTGTCGTTAGTTGAAAGTCAGGCTCTATTTTTATAGGGTCACTTGATGTAATATAGATCATTTAAAAGCTGTGAGATGGTGGTGATGGTTTCACGGGTATATACATCTCCCCAAGTACATCGAGATGTATACATTAAATATGGACAGGTTTTTATTTGTCAATCATACCTCAATAAATATTTTTTCAAAATTAAAAATAAAACTATGTCTTACATATAAGCTTTTTTTAGTGGCAGGTTCAAAAATAAAGTCTTCAAATGGTGATGGAACTGCTTGCCAAATGAGAAATTCCCAAACCAGTAAAGGAGAAATAGCATTTCTGGTTAGAAATAGGAAAACTGAAGCCAAAGTTAGAGTGAACTTATGCATGAATTGACGAGTTTTTAATTCCAAGTGACAAAATTATGCAATGAAAGATGTCATTTCTCCTTTTTTTCTTTATTTTTTTTTCTTTTGTCCTTTTTCTGATGTTCCTATGACTGAATTCATTTGGCAGAACTATTTCCGAGACACCTGGAATATCTTTGACTTCATCACCGTGATTGGCAGTATCACAGAAATTATCCTGACAGACAGCAAGGTGAATGGCTTATAAGATCCTTGTCTTTTAAGCTTGGCCCTGGAGTAGCATTCAAAAAATCCCCATGTACATTCAGTCCACCTTTAACCCACCAAAGCAAATGTGTACCCCTCTAAGTGTTGGGGGTTCACTTCCTCACTGCTCAACATTAGCTGGAGAATGTACATGCGGGAGCGGCGCTGGATCTCGTGGAGGGCTTTATTTTATTTTCTGACGGGGTGCATGGTGTCAGAAGAGAGCTAGTGTGCACAGTTTTCTGCTAGATTCTCAAAAGAGGCGCATTATCTTTGCCCTCAGAGTTCTTAGACCTCAATTGTTTCCCTACATTTGTTCATCCTAAAGAAGACTTGTAGAGCTCGTTTTTAACTCTCTGAATAGCAGAAGAGGGATCACTAGATCTGCTATTTTTAGCATCTACGTGCATACTTCAGACCTCTTGGTAGAAGACTAGAGAGGCCGGTGTTGTCTAATGTGTGCAGGGGATGATTCTGGGGAACGTCCCTTACTCTTCTAGCTGGGAACAGAGGGCAGGCCTGGGAAGGCTTAGGAAGATGGGCCTCACTGGCTGGCCCGTCAGCTGGAGTTGGGGTTAACAAAGAGACTGTGTCCAATTTTATTATCTGAATGAGGGATAAATATGCAAATACTGGTGCTTAGATCTTTCTAAATGACCATAATGTCACTAATTATATGTTTCCTTTTGGTCTACCAGCTGGTGAACACCAGTGGCTTCAATATGAGCTTCCTGAAGCTCTTCCGAGCCGCCCGCCTCATAAAGCTTCTGCGTCAGGGCTACACCATCCGTATTTTACTTTGGACCTTCGTGCAGTCCTTTAAGGTAAGAGGCGCCAGCAAATCCTCTCCGAGGGCTGTCCTATCAGACAGCACAGCTAGGCAGCACCAGCATCGTGACACGAGTCCCTTCACCCCTGGGAAGTTGAAGCTAGTATCTGTTAAAGCATTCAATAAATACAGCAGTTTTCAGTTACAGCACAGCTTGGCTTGACGGCATCCACCTTATATCTAGTGGATAGAATCTTATTCTAGAAAAACACCTTGACTGTGTAGCCGAGGCACCCTTTCTGTTCTGTGAGGCAGGGGACAAGTTTTATGAGGTGTGCTGCCTGCTTAGGGATTCCAAATCGTCCTGAGCAATCCTGTCTAGGTAAAGAGCCAGTCACCTGCGGTGAGATGTCCTCTGCATTTTCAGGGACTTGTCAGTGATTTATTTCACGTGACAGTTTTTCAAAGGACTCCTTGAGTTGTGTTCCGTAGTGAGGTCATTCATGCTCAGCCCCGCCCACATCTCCATCAGTGTGTATTTCCTGAGCCACTGAATGTGTGTATGCTGATGGTCACCTCTGTGTCCTGCAGACAAATACGAATGTCTGGGCAAGTTAATATGGTGAGTTTCTTTTGAATAGTCTCATGAGGCAATGCAGAGGTGTGTGTGTGTATAATAAATATAAGTTAAAAATCAACACCTAAGACCCCACTTTACTGGCAGAGACTTCCTGTAAAAGTTTTCCAAACATATAACACATTAACTGCCGTGTGAATTGTATTTAACTCATGCTAGTGTTGAGCCCAGGGCCTCGTGAAGCATATGTAACTCACACGGCTCTACCGTGGGAGCTGTGTGAACTATTTTTCAAGTTGCATGTAACTCACACACAGAAAACAATAAAAAAAACAAGTTTTTCATTAAATCAGAAAGGATTGTTTTGTTTTCAAAGTTTTTATTCTATTTTCATAATAAAACACCATGGCCCAAGGAAAAAATTTTTTTCTAGTTTGGCAGTCAATGTGTTACATATCTTTGGACTCTAGAAAATACCATAAATTAGTTGTTTTTAAGCTTTTGGGGGCCTAAGTGTTAGTCAAATGCCTATTATTTTCCTCTCCCATAAAAGAGAGTTTTTTAATAAAAATGATTAACAGAAAACTTGATGAAATTAAAGTGATTCAAAGATGAAAAATCATAAAGTCACCAAATTGCCTTTATTTTAATTACTTTTATATTTTAATTAGAAATTAAACTAAAGAAGGCAAGCCTGTAAATTCATGGTTTCTCATCATTTGGAAGGGGAGTCTTCTCCACATCATCGTTACTCATTTATTTCTTCATCAAGGACCTGGGAGTTTGAAATGTGAGATCAACTACAAGGGTGTTCTAGCTCCTAGGAGCAACCTTGACATTTTTTTATCACATCCAGAGTAATTGTTTGGCGTGGTACCTCCCGCAGAGGACTTACCTCCATGAAAACTATTTTTCCAGAGTGAGATGACAGAGGAGAAAACTAAAACCTTAGCAAAAATTTTCTATCTCAGTCTCAGATGAATTTGGATTTAGAGTTGGAAAAACAAGATGCTTTTAAACCCTTTTTTTTTTTTAGAGGACTACCCAACAAACTTCAGTTGTTAGTGAGCCTCTTAAGAAATATGTGTCATCCTGTCATATTATCACAATCTCCAAGTCTCTGTGAAACGGTATACTATTGGGAGTGAAGAAAAGGTTGTCAAAAATTGATGGCCAAATGGTTGGCTTATTCCAGCAAATACTACGGAAGACAGGGAAGACAGGTGGAATCTGCCTCCAGGTGACACTGTGTTATAGATAGATGTTTCCTCTTCAGAACAGTTCTGGGCCACAGTATAGAAGTTGATTTCTCATAGGCAGATTAGCAAAGGCTGCCTCTGCAAATACAAAGCAGAGAGCCACACGGTAGAAATAGCATCGCCATGGGCTGTACCAACCCCACCCTGCCCTAAGCAGCATCCGGTTCTCTACCTCTGACCCTTCCTCAGAAGTTCTTCCCTCTTTTCCATTATTTTGTGTTAAATTTTATAATGTGACAAGAAAGGAGAACAGAAAGAATCTTTGCTCTTCTCCCTAAAGATGGGAGGAGGGAGAGATGAACTTAGGACTGGAGACTTTGCAGTGGAAAAGGTAGAATAAGGGTCGGCAAGAAACCCTGCCTCCTTCCTCCCACCTCTCCACGGCGGGCGCCTTCCCATTGCCCCTTGAAACACAGCCGTTCCTCTTCCCAGATCTTGGGAATCAGCATTTCACGGGAAAGGGGATTCTCCCCTCAGCTTTCAACTGCCTTTTAATTTTATCCTCTATTCAAGTTTTAAATAGCCTCACAGGGCTCTTCATTTCGTTAGCTCTGTTGATAAGCTCTGTCCTGCTCGCGAGGGCTGAAAGCCTTCAATTGGTCTCGTGGGATTCGTGATGTGCGCACTGAAGACAGGGCGAGACTCCCAGGAGCTCCGACCGCCGGGGAGCTTCCTGGACGATGGAGGAGGAGGACGTCCCTGTCAGCACTGACAGCGCTCCAGAGCTATAATGTCCCACCCTGGCCCCAAGTCCAAACTGCCCCAGCAGTGCCCCAGCCACCAAGGGCAGTTCCCGGCCTCACATCTTCTTGCCTTGTGCCCCACCCCCACAATTGAAATATCATCATCCCAAAGTGGCAGCGGGCGCACAATATGGAATTCTGTGCCACAGGGCTTCATGGCAGGGTTTTCTGGTGGCTGACACGCAACAGCGTTTTGCGTGAAACGTTAGGGAATGTCAGGAGGCTTAAACTGCAAAACGACGCTTCATTAGAAGAAGAAAGGGCCTTCTAGGGACTGACAACCAAGCAAGACCCCAGGCGTTCCACGTGGCATCCCCGATTCTTCGTTACGGGGTCCCCATGGGGTGTGGGAGTGGGATGGGGTAGCACAGGGATTTGGAAGCCGTGGTTGGGTTCGTGGTGTGTCATTTGCATCACGGTTGCCCAGGTTGTTGATTTGCTGCATGCCACGTGGGATGGATGAGTCGCAAGCCCAGGAAGTTGTCCCAGTTCTCCTTGGAGATACGGGCTACTCTTCTGGGTGAGTGAATGTTCTTGACAGACGGCAAATTAGAAGCCTCTCTTTGGCCAACTGTCTACATATCTGTCAGGATGTGGACATCTGACCTCCAAAGATAACAGGCCCAGGGAACAGAGTCCCGGCCTCTGTTTGCATTAGCCTCAGGGCAAGAGTTCCTGTGCCACCAGCCACTGCAGGTTGTTGAGCCTGGAAGCTGCCTTCCTTTGATTAATGGTCTTATCTCTGCTTTCCTTCCAGGCCCTCCCCTACGTCTGCCTTTTGATTGCCATGCTTTTCTTCATTTATGCCATCATTGGGATGCAGGTGAGCTGGTGCGTCAGGGGCCTGGTGGGGGCAGCTGTTGCCCAGATTGTCTCAGGCTTAGCAACCTGACCAGGCAGGATTTGAGGATGCTTTGAACCCTTTCTTGTCTAAGCGTACTTTCCCAGGGTCTTGCAGCGGTGTGACGTCGGGAATTTCGCACGTGTGGTGGTTCCCCGTTCCGCTTGCCTAGGTGTTCAGGGTGGTCTGGTGCGGGGGCTTCCTCTGAGGCTGTCAGATCACGGTGCTGACTTGTAAGCAGCTGGGTTTCTGTGGGCACAACCGCAGAGCTGACGCAAAGATGACACCATTGTTCTTAGCCAGGAGGACCCTCTGGGGATTAGGGAGGAGTGAGGTGCATCACGATCTGTTTCGCACGATCTCTAGCGTTGGGACCTGGCCTAAAAGAGGGTCACATAGTTGTTCCTTCTGTGTGTGGTGACACTTGGCTGTGTAAGTCTTGACTGGTTAAGATTCATGCCCTGAGACCCACTACTGTGAACAACTCATAGAGTTCTCGGCAGCCTGCCCATTCCTAAGGACCCGAGGGCCACATCCCAGCTAATTCCTCTCTTAAAGGGCCATGGAAGTTGCTGGCAAGTTCCCCTTCTCAGTGGAAAGTTTACCATACCTTTCCCAGTTTCAGACCTTGGGAAGCAGATCAGGTTCTCAACCCAGACACTTACGCAGGTAGCCAGGGGCCTGCTGAGCACATGAGGCCAAAAGACCTTTCAAAGATGACAGTCATCGGTGGTGGGTGAACCCTACTGTAAACAACCAGCAGCACATGCCAGGTGCCTGTTCAGTCACACACATGGGCTAGTGGCTTGGCTCCGGAGTGCTAACTTTCTCACGGGGAAACGTCATGACCAGACCCCAGCAAAGAACTTCAGCATCGTGACGGTCTCCCGCAGTGAGGCAGTCTGGCTGCCTTTGGACTGCCACTGCCTTCCCCACCGCGTCTGCCACCTGGAGCCACTGCTCCGGCGTCCCAGGCTCGCTGCCTCGCAGCCCTTTCCAGAGCCTCTGAGGCTCTCTTTTTTTTGTTTTTCTCTCTTGCCTGCACGTCTCGGTTTCATTCTTCCTCTGACTTCACCGTTGGGGAGTTTTGTTCTCCAAAAGATACAATAGAATGTCAAGCATCAAAATGTGTGAGAAGTAGTGAGTCTCCCTCACTGAGGATGTCTCGGTGGAGATTTCACTATGATGTTGGCAGTGGTGGATACAGAATTCCTGGCTGAAGTCTCAGACTGGCTTGATGACTTCCATTAAGTCCTGTCTAGCTCCCGAATATTTGATTCTAGGATTAAAATATTCTTGAAGAGCCAAATGAAACCTTGATTAAGTTCTTTTTTAAAAAATGTATCTGTTGTTTATATATAACAGTTGTACATATTTGGGGGGCACATGGGATATTTTGATACCTCTGTACATGTGTAATGATCAAATCAGGGTAATTGGGATATCTGTCACCTCAAATGTTTATCTTTTGTGTTGGGAACATTACGATTCTTCTCTCCTAGTTATGTTTAAGTTCATTTTGCCCATGCTCAAAATAGTTCTTACCCATTTTCGTCTTTAAGCATGGTAAACTAGAATAACACCATCTCCAGTAATGACTGCTGCTATTATAACACTACAGATATTCATGACAATAATAATGCTATTTA